GATCTGCACTTGTTATTCTACAAAGAAACTTAACTGAGGAAAGTAGCGTATTCACAGGTGGATCCTTGGATATGAAAACGTCTCCTGTTAGTTCAAATCTACAGTCAATGTCCATCATCAGTTGTTATTACAACAGTCCCTTTTTATCTTCTACAGCAACAATAAAAAGAGAACCTTTCTGTGGGATTGCCTGTTGCATGCTCCAGAGAATGCATGCTGCTTATGTGGCCAGGTGTGCACAACAGGAAGGAGTTAAGTTGAAGTCATCAGAACGATAACAATCTAGCCCTGATGAGTTTTTGTATTTTAAGACACACCTGCTCCAAGTCAGCAGGGTTTCTGAGGAAAATCAGAAATGCGTTGGATGTATCCCAAGGCACATAAAAGATTGAATTCAATTCTGTCTAGCTGATGTTTAGAAATTTACAGCAGTGCTGACTGGGCTAAATGCCTTTCTTGCAAAATTCCAGAAAACACAGTGTTGTAGTTGTAAGAGAAAATTACATAGAAGATCCTTCCTTAAAAATGCATAACCTCCTCCCTGCTCTCACCCATCTTTCCTCACTTGAGTTGAAGTGTTGGACATTTCCAAAGTACAAATGTGATGGGAAGGTAAACTCTTACTTGTAATAAAAAAACTGGTGTTGGTTCACAACTTTAGGGTTGATGATTCAGGAAGTGCAAGTGTTTTAAAACACTGGAGATTTAAAAAGAAAACAGGGCATTTATATGCACACACTTGACAAAAATAGAGTAGTGGTACAATGAATTATTTTTCCATTGTTCTTTATACTTTACATTATTTACCTAATTTTTGGCAAAGAATATTCATTAGTTTTATAATCAGAAAAAAGGCAATAAAGGTTTATTGGTATTCATGTAGGTAATATTGAAAAATATAGAAATTCTAGCTAGAATCCAATATTTATTAAGAAAATTTAAATGACCTATAGCCTATTGTAATAAATTTTTAAATTTTATTATTTGCCATAGTAGCTAATATTTTAGACTATAATTTTAATGAAAAATTTTTGACAGCATGGCAATCATATGCAAATGTCAAATGGGATTTTATTCTATAATCTTCAGAGAACTATATATACATATATTTATGTATCATATAGTTATATATGTATATATCATATATACATATAATATATGTATATATCACATACACATACCAACCATGTGATATTTCTATATATACACAACATACATGTATGTATCATACATACATATATTATATGTGCATATATCACATACACACATATATCATGTGATATTTTGTGTGTATATATAAACACATATATAACGTGTATGTTACATATGTTTGTATGTTGTATATATGCATATGTATGTATAAATATATACATATACATATATGGTATATATGTATTTTAAATATGACAAATATATATGCATATATATGACAATATGATTAATTCCTAATATATTTATATAACATATATACCTATATATGTGTATATATACACACATATGTATATATATCATGTGATATTTCATGTGTATATATTTACCTATATATATATACCTGTATATATATACCTATATATATATAAATATATGCCTATATATATAATTATATATAGGTATATAGATAAATATATACACATGAAATATTACATGATATATACACGTATATATGTATATATATCATGTAATATTCCAAACCATGCTTAATGTGATTTTAGAAAATATATTTAATGAAAGATGAAATAAGAAATTAGGACATCAAATAGAAGCAGAAGAAAAGGTTAAGAAAAATGAAGCAAACCACAGAAAAGATGTTTTTGAATAATAAAAATATATGTCTTCATTCCTAACTGTTTTTTGGTATGACATGAAAACTCACACTGACGTTTCTGCAAAGATGTCAAAGTGAAGAAAATGCACTCAATTACATGTTATAAGATTACTGTAAAATTAAAACAGCACCAATTATGATAGCAACACAAACAAGTTGTGTTGTGGCCTAGGAGAATTTGAACCGTTCTCTCCTACCAGGACTTAAGTATAAAGCAGTTTTCCCTTGGGTTTATGCACATTGGATCAACTATTTAGTGTTATCAACATTACTTAAAAATGCAATCATGGTAAGTACAAACAAAGGTCTGAAGTGGTATTTCTTGTGTTAGAGTAAACCTATTGGAGATATCTAACATATAATTTACCTTCAGCAGCTCCCTTGGCAAAGATCAGGAACTAGAGGTTAGAAACCACAGGGTTTTGAGGTATTGGTGGTGGTGGTGTTGACTATAATTGTTAAAATAGAAATCGTAATAGGATTTACATACTGGGGTTGTTTTGAGAATTAAATGAGATGATAAATTTAACTCATAATCTGGTATACTAAACGGCAAATAAATATTGGTTATTATTAAATAGTATATGAAATAAATTATTCTTCTTACAGAAAATTATCAAAAAATATTATTTCTTTCAAAGATTCTTTCAACAGGCCTTGTCTGGTACAATGTTTAAAGATATTCTCATTAAATGAATGCATTAAGTGTGCCAATTCTGTATGACCACTACCTGCAAAGAAATAGGCTTCATCGGGCCGGGCGCGGTGGCTCAAGCCTGTAATCCCAGCACTTTGGGAGGCCGAGGCGGGTGGATCACGAGGTCAAGAGATCGAGACCATCCTGGTCAACATGGTGAAACCCCGTCTTTACTAAAAATACAAAAAATTAGCTGAGCATGGTGGCGCGTGCCTGTAATCCCAGCTACTCAGGAGGCTGAGGCAGGAGAATTAACTGAACCCAGGAGGCGGAGGTTGCGGTGAGCCGCGCCATTGCATTTCAGCCTGGGTAACAAGAGTGAAACTCCGTCTCAAAAAGAAAAAAAAGAAAAATAATAAGCTTTATCAAGTAGGCAGCTAAGTTTAATAGGACTTAAATCTTCTTATGAAAATTCAGAAGGCTACATGAGCCTGAATGGAAAGCTGCCTTGTGTTTTCAAGCCTATGGAGCCGAGAACCAATGCATTACTTCTTGGCAGGAACTAGTGTGAAAATAATTTGTGTCAGCTAATCACATGTATGATTACCACCCAGTCTGTGGTATTCAGTTCCAGAAAACATGGTCATATTATCAAAGTCTGGAAAAAATTAAAAGGAGGACACCAAATATTTATGCTATAACAATTATGTAATTTATCTCATATATATATTGATCTATAGTTCTTTCTTATGCAGTCTCCAAATGACTAAGAACTATAAAAATGATCATGACAAAATATCTATTCTTCAGATTCTCACACACATAAAAGAACAACTAAAATAAAACCTTTAAAGAGATGTGTGTATTAGTAGGAAGCAATGAAGTATAGGATGCCAAAGTAAGGTCCTCAGCCTCTAAAGGATACAGAAACCCAAAATTTCATGATAAAGGGCTAGAAATGCTTATATATTTGTTTAAGAAATAAAGTTATGCTTTAAAAATACACCGAATGTTTTTCAATAACGTGACAAGTATATAAGGGGAGAGCAGACAAGGGTGCTCTTACTTTTCTATTTACTTTTAATATGTTGAGATTCATGGCTATTTCTAATTTTAACCAAAAAATAATTTATGGACAAGACAAGAACATTTTCAAAAATATTTTGGATCAAAGATAATTCTAGGTACATATGTGTAAGTGAACAAATAGGAAAAAGCAGGACTGGCATTTTATATACCTGATATTAGTCTATCATCTGCCAATTCACAAAGTAAATCATAATCTGTTCAGATTATGATTACATATGTCATATAACCCATAATTTTCAAGTTATTAAAAGTTTCTTAGAAATATAGCTTCACCTAGAAAAGCCAATGATCAATAATTCATTCAAGTAGTAAGCTGCAAAACATGACATCTTAAAAATTAATCATATTTACTCTCATATTTTAACACCATACTATATACATATACAATATAAACATATATAGTGCATATTTTAACATAATAGTAGTTAAAAATGATACCAACAAAAATATTTAAGAAAATAAGCATACATTCCATCTACATTACTAAATATATTATACCCAAATAAATGTTAATTAAATAAAAATACAAATCTACTTTACATTTTTGGGCAAAACAAAGATATTCACTTAATGGAAACAACACACAATTGAAGACATAATCAGGTCAAGTGAGATGATTTAACAGGAAGTGAAGGTTCTTGCTGCATTTTATAGTCAATACAGAGAGTTTTGTGGTGTTGATGCTGTGAATAAACATTAATGCACAAAAATAAGAATGAATTCAGATGGTTTACATGATATGTACAAATATGTTAAAAATAACATTCGAGTATTTTGAGGAGATTAACAAATGAACTCGCAGCACACCTAAACACATTTGCATCAGAAATAAAAATGTGCTGCGGAAATAATGAGCTCTAAAATATTAATTCCCATTCCTTATTTCCTTTTCTTAAGGAAATGAAAAGCCCAACCACTGTGAAACATGTTAAAATATCTAATATTTCCAGAAGTCTATTATATGCTTAACACCACTCTGTAGACTATGTATGTTCAATCTCATTTTAATTACCATTTTGTAGGTCAGGTACTGACAAAACACTGCCCTGGTCTAAATTCAGCTTTCCATCTTCTTGTAAATACAGTTTTACTGGACAGCCATCTTGCCCATTAATTTGTATTGTCTATTACTGCTGTCATGCTATGATTGTTAAATTGAATATGTACAACTGAACATACTAACAGCAAACCTTAAAATATTTATCTGGCTCTTTACCAAAAAAGTTTGACAGCCACTGATGTAGGTAATATGATTTCAATTTTCAAGTAAGCTTAATATCAGGATGGAACACACAAACTGTAAATTCTGGAAAAAGAGTGAAAATTCAATTTTTACTGACAGGCAGGTGATTGTGTTTCTTATATGACACAATATAGACATTCAGAAAATAAACTACACAAGAATATTATTTTTATGAGCTGTTTATGCATAAATATCTTGGAGTTCTACTTGAATGAAGGTTAAGGAAAAAGTTTATATTTATATGATCTAATGCATAGTTTTTGGTGTAGTAGAACCCAGCCTGCAGGCTTTACAATATATACTGTTCTTTCTGTCAGATTCTCCAAACCATTGTCTCTGTTTCTCTGTATTCATTTGTTCATTTATTCTCCTTTCCTGTTGGAAGAGAAATAAGATTCCTTTTAAAATTCACTTCACTTTGGATCCCATCTCTTCTACATTCCAAGGTTCTTTTTCTCTCAATTAGTCTCCTTCACAGACAACTTTTTGAAAAAAAATGCCTGTAATTTCTGTGTCTATTTTTTTCACCTCCAATACACTCCAGAACTTGTGGGCTGGTATCTATCTTACCCAATCCACTGAAAAGTTTGTGTTTAAGCTAATGGTCAAGAATATCCTTGCTGTGGAGATCATTACACACCTTTCTATCTTTATCTTATTTGACTCTAAATTTTACACTATCAGATACTCCACTGATATTGAAATTGTCCTTTGGCTTGGGTGCTATGAAGTCACACTCTCATTGTCTCTTCCTATTTTTCAGGTCACTCCTCTTATTCTTCCTTGATGGTATCTATACCTTTATTAGTGTTATAAGTATTACTGCCCCAAACCTTCAGTAACAGGATTTATCTTTTTATTCTATGTATTCTCCTTGGTAATTTTATTGATTACTATGTCTTTAACATTTATGCAATTAACAATTGTATATTTTAGTCCATATTTTTCCTTAACTCTTGAATTATATAGGTAACTGCAATTTCTATGTTTTCAGTAACTACCCTGCAGGCATCTGAAAGTTAACATGTCCCAGGCTAATACCACCATGACCTCTGTCAAATGTATCTTCTCCCTCATGTGTTTGTCCTCTATCACAGTAAATAAACTTCTTCCCTCTACCCAGGCCCAAGGCAGATAGAAATCTGAATAATACACTCAAGGCTGTATGAAATTATAATATCAAACTATTAATTAAAATGAAAAATATAGCCATGAACCCAATTGGCATGTTCATGTTTGTTGATTGATGCTTTTGCCCTAAGGCAAATCAAAATGGAAAAAAAAATCAGAATTTTGTTTCATGTCACTGGATGAAACAAAACCATACAAAAATATTTGTGGAAAACAAACAACTCAAATTTCAAAGAAAACGGTCTGCTAAATTACATTTCACAAAGGTGATTAACTACTCTATAGTTGTTTTATTTTATATATTCACTAACAATGATACAGGAAATGCTGCTAAGTAAAAAAAAAGTATCAAGACAGTATCCATATAAAGATCTCATATATGTTATATTATCACTCATCTCTATAGAGATTGATACCAATGTAGTATAGAGATTTTAATATTTCTATAAGATAAAGATATAATATATATTGTAGAGATAACTGTCTAGCTCTATAGCTGAGTATGTTTTTTAGAGCTATAATGTTAGTGGAGAAGAGCACTACTGAACAGAACTAAGTAATAGCATACTTTTTACATGCTAGCCATTTTGCTTGGGAGTGTTAACCTAAGCATTCATTTCCTTGATTGTGAAACGTTATAAAACCGCAGATTGATAAAGGTGTGGTAACAATTCGTTTAAAAAATAAGATACAGCTCCTGCTCTATTGTGCAACACAAGATAGACACACATTGAGGTTGATTATATCATACGTTACTATTCCTATGTATGAGAATATTTATAGGACTAACGTGGTAAAATCCATTTACACTAGAACTTACATTGTTTGAGCAGGCAAAAAATAAACAAATGTACGATAAAATTTCAGGTAGATATGAAATATAGCAGGTTCGGACAGTGGGTGTCTGAGAAGGCTTTGCTGCATAGGGTAAGCAGTGATGATTTCTCTGTGGGGTTGACTTTGAGCTGAGATCTGAATGAAATCAGGGAGAAAGCCACAAGAAGGTCTGAGGGAGATGGCATTTCAGCAGGAACCATGGCAAAGGCCCTCACATAGGAGGGACTGTACAGTGGTAGGTGCTGCGCATAAGGAATGATGGGAACATACAGGAAAGGCAATCAAAGATGTGGCCAGTAAACAAACCTCAATGAATATATTTACAGTTCTGCACGGCTGGGGCTTTCTGAACAAAGAGCACTGATGTCTGAGTTAAAGGACATTTGAACAGCACTCCCAGAGGCCTCCAAAGAGATATTAACTGTTCTCTCTCCTCGGTTGGTCACATGCTTACCTTCGAGTGGTTAGGTAGAGATTTTTCCTGCTCATCACAGGAGTTCATTTACATTGCAAAGTATTCCTTCTGTTCTGCTGTCTGGAGGAAAGAAGAAACAAATGTGTCAGCCATTCTATGTTCAGGCTTCAGTATCATAATTTTGGGACCCGTCTCCTGTGGTGCAAACCCCCTCTGCATGTACAAATGACATTAGACCCTTGTGTAATTGATGTAGAGGCAACCAGAGCTAAGATGCTCTGTGAGTAGACATCAATATGTTCTTTGATTCAGGAACCTCATGATTCCTGCAAAATACACTAACAAATGTAAAGACTTAAGAGTTGTAAACAAGACACCATATCCTTTTGTATTACCCTAAGATATTTGATTTGTATTTCAGGTGAGAGATTAATGGTGACTTTGACCAAGGTAGTAGGTATGGAAATTTTGATAAGAAGTAAGAGTAAAAGATGCACTTCGAATGTAAGCTAATGGAAAGCCACACAAACTGTTAACACTGGTATGCCTAAACTGAACTTGCTACCTCTACTCTTGCCAATCTAAAGTTAATTTGCCATACAGTAGCTGGAGAAGGTTCTTCAAAGCAACATTTAAATCACATCACTTTTCTGCTGAAAAACAATCAGTGGTTTTCCTTTTCCCAATACAATCCAAAGTCTTTAGCTCTAATCATACCCCACAATATTTTACATGAATTCACTTTTCCACTTCATTCGTATTTTTCTTATTCCATTTTCCACCATGTTTACTTCCTGCTGCAAGAGCCTCCTTGCCATTTTTCTGGTTGACAAGGTATACTCCTGCCTCAGTGCCTTCGTAGGTTGAACTTCGTCTGGAAAGTTCTTAATTCAGATATCCACATAATTTACTCCATCACTGCACACAGGTTCCTGCTCAAGTAGCAAGCAACCTGCTCTTATCACTGTCAAAATCTCATCGCAATCAAAAAGTTTCTGTATTAGTCTTTCAAATATGTTTATCATAGTGTTTATTAGCACCAGCCATGTTTTGTGTGTCTGTGTGTGCGTTTACTAGTTTCTTTTTAACTGGAATATAAACTCAGGATTTAGAGATTTATTTTTTTCAATGCTGAATTCTCTAGATCTTGAATGATACCTAGTGCAAGGTAGACTTTCATTAAATAATGAATAAATATATGGATCAAGTTATTAGATGTGAGCTTTGGAAAAACTAAAATGAAGACAAAAAAGCATTAATCTACTGGGGGCATGTAATGCGACTTACAGATTTGTGAAAGATGATGGCAGGAATAGGTTTAAGAGATAATTTACACAGTTTAATTCAGAAAAGGACAAAAAGTGTCATTTTAAAAGGTCAAAATATTACAGTACAAAATGTTTTAAGATGTAGATTTAGATAATAAATGTAAAATATTGAAAGGGACACTGATCTTAGAACACAAATATCTGAGTTTAGAATTTTACTAATCCTCATGAAAATTCTCTAGCCCCTCTTACTTGATTTTTCTGGTTTCCATTCTTCTGGCTTTTACGAATATTGTCCTTTCCAGCTTAAATTCATTATATAATGATTACTTGGATTATTTCCCCAGCCTTTATTTTATTCACATCTGAGAAACAGTATTTTAAGTTGATTCCTTTGCTTTCTCCAGAATCAAACTCTCAGGACATGACAACCATCCTCTATATTTGCCTCTTAAAATTTTTATAAGCACATTGTTGTTCTCTAGTTGTTTATTAAGTGAGAACAATTATTGATAATGTTACATTATAGATCCATATTTAAGATAAAAATCACAATATTATAATTTAAGATGATCTGGTCTACAGAAACACAGTCTAACTGCAATTAATTTAGACAGTCAATCACAACTGCTGATGCTGCCAACAAGAGCTCACATTAGTGCCAGCATTGACTGTGGTTCTTTTCTCACAATTGTTTTATGGTATTAAGTGGAATGCTTAATAGCATTACGCTCAAAGGAATCCTGCTGCTTCCTCCTTCAAACACAATTTGCTAGCACTTGTTGTAAATCTCGACATCCACTCATCTTTTTTCCTACCTTGTTACAGCATTAATTCAAAATCCTTGTTTTTTCCTTAGTTGCATCTTATATAACAATTTATCCAATGTCTTGCTGAGATGTAGGTAACAGACTCCCACTTCCTTTGCTTCATTTACTTCCTCATTCTCTCCAAACACTTGATCAGGTCTCCTGGGCCATATCCTTTTATTCTCATGCAATGTTGGCAAATGGTACACTTGATGCTCTTCTGACAACTTAGATGCTTGTTTATTATAACTGAAACACTTACTAGTTAAAAAACAATGAGTTTCCTGAGAGTTTTTGTTATTGTTGTCATTGTTGCACTTTTGATTTTGTTTTGTTTTACTGTCAAATTAAGCTTTAAATCATCTTTCTATTCAGATCCTCAGAGGAATGACAGAAGTATGCTTCGGAACTGTGTACCTCTTTTGTCTCTCCTGCTCCTATCTCCACAAGGAGTGCTGATCACCTCTCTCCTCCTTTCCTACTTGGGCCTTTAAAAACACCATTTCTTGCTGATCCTTTTCCAATTTCTCTGACCATTGGCTGCTTGCATTCTTTTTCTATTTCTTCCTCCAACAGTTATTTGAATACTGGAATTCCTGAAAGTTTCCATACCAAGCCCATTATTCTTCTCCTGCCATATATATTCTGTGGGTGGGGAAATCACTTTTATTCTTGTCACAAACCCTGTCCTTTCCCTTGAAACAGATGTCTATATGTTTGCTGGACGTTGCTAACTTGTCTTTAAATTTAACATTTCTGAATCCACAGGAATGTTAAACCCAACATTTCTATAATTGATCTCATTTTTCACCCTATAATAGTCTGGACTTCCTCTTTTATTCCCTTTTCATTTAATGTTAATATCTTCTACCTTATTGCCCAAATCAGAAAATTGAGAGCCACATTAAATCTCTTTTCCGCTTCTCTCCAAATGTAATTAATCTCATTCTGCTGGTTTCTATCTTGTGAAAGTTTCTAAATTATATTTCTTTCGTTTAAAGGCTCTCATATTATTGTGCAAGGATTATACCAAGAGCCTCCTACATCTCCTTACTACAATGGATTTTCTCAAAGCCATCTACACTTTATAACTGTACTAATTTATTTCACAGCAACTTTTACAATCTGTCAATTGTTCTTCATCATGTAAGGTTAAGACTTAAGCTCTGTAGCTTTCAGAATCAAGTCCTACATACTGTGACCTACCTCAGTCCAACTAAAAATTTAACTCCTGACAATTTAAATTCAGTTACAGATTATTCATGTATTTGCCTATGATGGTCCTTTTGTCTGGAGATAATTTTCTTCATCTGACCTGGATTATATAATATCTCAAAACTTATAGTGGGTTTTCTCTTTGGTCTTTGCTACGTGTCTTCTCTTCTTCACTCTCACTGAATCCTATGAGTTCAACTTCATCTCAGTTGTCACCTTAGGTTCGAACTGAACATTGAGGTAGAGTTGCTTTCACTAGCATGTGAGTTTATTACGCAAGGTTTTAATGCTCCTTTCACCTTTTTCTAACTAATATTTTGCACTATATTTGGCTCACATGAAGAGTAAGTAGAATTTACCCTCAAAAAAAACTTTTCAGCAAATTTTTCTGTCTTCATCTACCTTGAGCTTTGAAACATTTTGTACTCTTGGCAGTCTTCTCTCTGTAAATATTCATTTTCCTGGCTTTCTCCTATAAATATGCAACTTACTACTGTCTTTTTACAAAGTTCATACTCCGCTCTCCGTGATTTAAGTGTTGATAGATATTTAGAGCATCTATTTGTTTTGGGCTTTCAATGTTCTACCTTCTTTGCAGGTGACCAGATTTATTTTTGTGATTTCATTTATTATCATCATGTTGACAACTTTCATATTAATATGCTTGGTTTTTGTGATGTTTCATACTGAATGTCAACTTGATTGGATTGAAGGGTGCCAAGTTTTGTTCCTGTGTGTGTCTTGGATGTTGTTGCCAAAAGAGATTGACATTTGAGTCAGTGGACTGGGAGAGTCAGACCTACCCTCAGTCTGGATGGGCACCAGTTAACCAGCTTCCAGCACGGCCAGACTAACAAGCAGGCAGAAGAACGTGGAGGGATTAGACTGGCTTAGCCTCTCAGCCTACATCTTTCTCCCATGCTATATGGTTCCTGTCCTGGAACACTGGGCTCCAGGTTCTTCACCTTTGGGACTCCAACTGGTTTCCTTACTCCTCAGCATGCAAATGGCCTATTGTGGGACCTTGTGATCCTGTGAGTTAACGCTTCTTAATAAACGCCTCTTTATCTATCTATCCTGTCCCTCTAGAGAAACCTGACTACTAATGTTCCACATCTGCATATTTCATTGTTAAATAACATTTTTATTTAATCTAATTGGTACATCAAATTTAACACAAATTTGAATTTACTATATTGTCTTCAAAAAGAAGGCATTCATTCCAGTGGTCAGTATTTCAAAGATGAAATTTTCCTCCTCCAACTGCTAGATCCAGAAGCCTGGATTCATACTTAACACCCCTTTTCTGTCCGTAGTCACCACCTGTAAATCAATTATCAAAACTACTCTTCTAAAACTTCTTAATGTATTTTTCTTACTTCACTTCCTACCCTAGAACAAGTCATCATCACCTTTTTTAAATTTTCTTTTTTTTGTACCACTGCAATAGCCTGATAACTTGTTACTCCACGTCCAGGCTGCCTTTCCTTCAATCTATTTAGACTACAGTTAACGAGATTTTTAAAAGTTTAAGAATAATTCCTTCTCCCCTTCTTCATCCCCAAAGATGTCCACATCTAAATCAGTAGAACTCATGTTTATCATGCTTATGTTACCTTTTATGGCAAAGAGAAATTGAGGTTGCAGATAAAATTAAAGTTGCTAATTAGTTGACTTTAAAATAAATGAGATTATTCTAGATTAGGCTGGTGGACACGATATAATCACAAGGCTTGTTAATAGTGGAAAAAGTAATTGGAGTGGAGAATCAAAGAGAGGGCAGCCTCAGAAAGCGTAGACTTGACATTGCTGACTTTACAGATCAGAG